GGATTTTCCCTTGGTGAAGCCATGCTGGTTGACACCAATTACCTCCACATTTTCCATGTGCTATAGCAGAGCCTTCAGGAGGATCTGCTCCATGATCTGGCCAGGCACAGAGGTAAGACTGACTGGCCTGTAGTTGCCTGGGTCTTCCTTTTTTCCCTTTTTGAAAATAGGGGTGATGTTTCCCCTTTTCCAGCCAGTTGGCATTTCACCAGACTGCCACGACTTCTCAAATATGAGTCTTGGGCACTCCACCAGACTGCCATGACTTATCAAATATGAGGAAAGTGGCCTAGCAACTTGGTCTGCTAGTTCTCTCAGGACCCATGGATGGATCTCATCAGGTCCCATGGACTTGTACACTTCAGGTTCTTTAGACAGTCATGAACCTGCTCTTCACTTACAGTGGGCAGATCTTCCTTATCTCAGTCTCCACCTTCAGCTTCTGCAGCTTGGACAGTGCGGATAGAGCCTTTGCTGGTGAAGACTGAGGCAAAGAAGTCATTGAGAATCTCAGCCTTCTCCATATCCCTCATGACCAGTTCACCTATTTCCTTCCAGAGAGGGCCCACAGCTTCCCTACTCTTCCTTTTTATCACTGACATACCTCTAAAAGTTCTTCTTGTTGCCCTTGATGTCCCCAGCCATATTTAATTCTATCTGTGCTTTGGTTTTCCTTACCTGATCCCTGGCTGCTTGGACAACTTCTTTGTCTTCTTTCCAGTCTCCCTGCCCTTTTTTTCACTTTCTGTAAATTTTCTTTTTGTCTTTAAGTGTGTCCAGGAGTTCATCCACGCAGGCCTCCTGGCATTCTTGCCTGCCTTCCTCCTTTTTGGAATGCATTGCTCCTGGACTCGGAGGAGGTGACCCTTGAATACGGACCAGCTCTCTTGGGGCCCTCTCCCCTTCAGGGCTTCATCCCATGGTACTCCACTAAGCAAATCCCTGAAGAAGTCAAAGCCTACTCTCTTGAAGTCAAGGGTAGTGAGCTTGCTGCATACTCTCCCTGTTGCCCGGAGTGTCTTGAACTCTAACTTTTCATGATCCCTGCAGCCAAGGCTTTCCTTGAGCTTCACATTAGCCACCAGCCCCTCTTTGTTGGTGAGAACAAGATCCAGCATGGCACCCCTTCTTGTCGGTTCCTTTACCACCTGGAGAAGGAAATTTCATTTTCATAATTTTCATTATGTCTTACCCCTGTGAGGAAGTACAGGCTGGAAAAGGAGAAAATGGGAAACCTTATTCCCTCTAAAAGGATAGCACTGGGAACTGCTTTATTTTCAGATCGCCCATGTCACAGCTACAGAGGAAGAGCTGGGGGAGAGCATCATCACGTGAGTAAAGATTAGATTTCTACATCTGTAGTTATCTGTGACCTTGGATTGATGCTCTTCCAATCTTCCTCCTCTGAGGTAGAGCCACACGGCTGTCCTGCTTATTTGGAGCCCTCCCCACTCCTCATCCGCAACCAGCTTTTGCCACCAAACACCATCATCTTCAAATCTTCCATCTCTCTGGTCAAGCTTGCATGCAAATGGCTAGCTGGGATGGAGCAGGCAGGGAAACACATATATATACAGAAGCCTTAATTTCTGCAGAAATAAGCCAAAATTATTTTGATATATTGGCTTTTTAATTGCTGCCTTCAGTGCTCATGGGGAGTGCTTTTGTTATCTCCTTAGAAAAACGTGCAAGCAAGGCCTGATTACCTCTTCTTTGTCTCTTACCCATATCCTCCTATTTTTTTCCCGTGTATCCTCTGATGGAGCTTTCCCCAGGTCTCTAAGCATTTCTGTATCCTACTTCTCTTCTGGTATTTGCTGCTAAAGGACTGCCAAGAACAAAATCTGTATTTTGGTGTGCTGCTTTGCATCATCATGCTCCATACAGCAGCCTCTTGTTTTATGTTGGCCAGCTTTGCTCACTGGGCAAAGTATATTGAAAGAAACGTATTTCTTTTTGCCCAGGCTGCTTGAGGCTCTCCATTGGGCTGACTGGACATGAGGAAGAGGTATCTGGGAAGAGGGAAGGGGCAATAAGAAATGAGCTGCAAATTAAGACAAAAAGTGAACATTCCAAACCACAGCCTGAAGCGTAAAATTTGAGGTAGTTCGGTTTGGAAACTTTTCACTTAGGTGATCTAAATCCACAAATATGGAATACAATAACATAAGAAATTGTACACCAACGTTGTAAAGCTTAAAAAGATTAATGGGTCATGTTGAAATGTTAATGACAAAGCCGATATATTGCGTTTTGATTTTGTGTGACTCCAACACACTCCCATCAAATCCATAATCAAAAGTGGCGTGCTCTCTCAAAGCACAAATAGCTTTGAAACAAAATGCAGCATCAACGTGTTTTCATCGGACCTACTTACAGCGTAGAAATATTAAACAAACGTTTCCTTTCTCGCCCTAAATGTTGAACAGTGTACGTAGTAGCAAAGATGAATTCACTTTAATGAATTTTATGATGTTTTAAATAAGGAGGAAAAAGTCTCTTTCCTGTTTATCACTTTGCAGCTACATAGCTGGTCTCAGTTTCCAGAACTGATGCTTCCATACAGCAAAGTAAACTACTTTTATCATCTCAGTTTACAAGTAGAGAAGCTGAGGTGCGAAGCACAAACTTTCTTTCCCCAAGGCCATTCAGTAAACAAGCAGCAGGACGGATCAAAACCCATAGCAGCAGTGCCCTGCTGTACTCGTTAAGTAGCATCGCCTTTGTTTAACACAGACCATTATCAGTTTGCAAATGCTACTGATGGAAAAGGCCTACCAAGTCCTTTTGCAGCTCCTTATGAGCGCAGGCTTTTTCCATGCCATGTGTTGTACACAAGAGTGCTTGGTACAAACCCTACATTAAAATAATTCAAAGAGGAGGACATATCTATGTCCTTTGGGGAAAACAATTCTGTGGCTGAAGAGATGGCAGCATTAGGAAATACTTCCTGATGTCCAGCCCTGCCACAGCTTCTAGAAATTGTTGATATATTATTAATAGAAAGGAAAATAAATATAGGTATTAATGCCAGCAGACACTGTCTACTACTAATAGCTGCTAAAGTAATATATTCCCGTTGTTTTTAGGTTTTATTAGTCTTTTTGCAAAGGGTTACAAGACCCTTATGCATCCATTAGCCAGTCAGCCATGTGAAATTAATGTGGAGCAATTTTCATAAGTATTGCTCAGAACTAATAATAATTAAGCATTATTTTCTGCTCAGATAACACAGAAAATAAAGTCTGACTTTTATGCCAAGATGGGTTTGCATTAGCTTAAGGTAGATGAATTAATTCTCATTTACAAGGCTTCTACACCAGCTAGCCAGAAAATATCAAGGTAATTAAAACCAATTTGTGAGGTTCTGTCCCATTGCACATTCACTGAGTTTTATCATTGCTGCAAATTACAGGTGCTTTTACGCCATTGCAAAGGTGGGACATGAAGGAGACCTTGCAGCTTGCCTCCTTGCCCATCATTTCCGAGAAAAGCAACTTCCTTGCGAAGACCAGAATGCATTTTGCAACGCACTTTGTTGCTGGAGAAGCAATGAAGGACCACACGCTGAATGAAGGACCAGCTCAGTCTCAGCTCAGGCTGGGATGGGGACCTCTCAGCAACACATGCAAAAGATCTATAACAGAAAGAAAAAAAAAAAAAAAGCCTATTTTCTTTTGGTTAACCATTTATTTGCAAGGGATTTTGGCTACTTACAAAGCCAAGAGGTTTCTGTAGACAGCATTCTATGGGTAGCTCCAAAACAGTTCTCTTCAGCCAGCCAGATTTTTCTCTATTGCATTTAACAACCAAAACCCAGCACTTGCAATCCAGGTAAACCAGACTTATTAGTTATAGGGTGCTACATCTTCCAACACTGGCCAAAATATTTCTTGCCCTTTTTCTAGCTCAAGGAGATACTGTATATGACATGTAGTCATGTCCAGCAGCTTGACAAATCACCAGAGCGGCTGCTGTGGTCCCTGAAGATGCTTTTATCTTGAGCCAGCTGCAAGGCAGAAGATGCATTAATCCAGCTAATAATTAGCTGTAAGGTACAGTAAGCCAGAGCTATTCTACCAACAGCTAAGCTAATAGGCAACTGAGTAAGCTAAGACCTTCCCTAGGGTTTCAGCTTTCTGAGGGAAGTAGCTCCACATCTTGACTTTGCATCTGAGCTTAGCAAATAACTGGGCCTGATGTGACCCACCAGCGTGGAAAATCAGTGTTTTTCAGAGGATTATGGGCTCTCTCGTCTGTGTCCTGGCTCTTTCATTTCATTTCTCTGGCCTCTGCCTCACTCTCCTGTCTCGTTGTGGCATCTCGTTTTGATGTCTGTGTCCACATCAGTGAGATGGAGCCGGTTCATCTGCAACATGACTATATGGGTCAGCAGCACAAGAAGAATGAGGCGGTAGTTCTGACTTTTACTGTGTTTTGAAAAATCTTCTCTGGAGTAATCTAATTGCTATTAAAGAAGTAAATAAAAGGAGACAATACTTGAGCAACACCAGCTGTGTCTCAGCCCTGGAAAGAACCACCCTGGCATTTGCAAAGCTATCCACGCCTCCAGTGAAGAAAGGTTTCCCCTTATGGTTGTCTCAGTCTCAGTCCAGCTACGGTAAATGTAAACAGGCATTAATGTCTCATGGTTTGGCTTTTCCACACAAACCTCTCACCAGCTCACAATGCCAACCTGAAACCACTTCATGGTGTTCCAGTAGCTGCAAACCAGAGGCTCCCTGCTCTCCACCTATGGCATAAGGACGATGTTATAGCACGGTCAAACCTCAGGTCTCTCATAGCAGCTGCATCCCACAGGCTGACTGGGAAAATTGAACTCTATCGTGAGTCCATGAAGAATTAGGGGAACAAGGAAATTTTGGAATCAAAATTTCACAGCTCAGCCCTGCAATCCCTGCGGAGTAGATAGACACAGAGGGTAAGAGGAGGAGGTCAGCCATAAGCTCTGGCTCAGTGCAATGGCCTGTCCTTCTCAGCCTTTCCCCATGCTCCCACGGTGCCAGAAGGATACCTGAATCCTGTCACCAAAAGACAACATCCAAGAGTGAAAAGGGACATTTGCTGTGACTGCTCATTCGGTCCTGGACTTCTCTGCAAAACTGGTGCGTTCAGGCGCTGCATACCTGCCACTGTTAATTTTGGGGGGCTAGCATCCAGAAACTGGACAAGAGAGGAACACTAATCCTGACAAATCCTCCTTGCAGCCACAGTAATTTTACTGAAAACTTGCCTGCTACTGCAAGGGCAGCCATCACTCACCCAGCGTGTGCAAGCCTTCAAACGCACATTGCAGCCACCCTGCGAAGAGGAATGTCCTCCTGTTGGCTGCTGTAGCTTGAAAACCAAGAGCACATCCAGTTGCCTGTGTGACTTCTGCGTGCCATCTCCGAACACAACCTGAGGGAGAAGGAAAACCAGCACAAAATCCACCCAGCCAGGTACAGCACTTTTCTGACACTTACGTACATCTTGAGTGCTGTGTAGCCCCTGCTCTAGATAAGTTTCCTTCCACGGTGGGTTTGAATCTTTTTTCTACCCTGTCTCTAGTACACGTGGCAAATAAATTCAGTACAAACCCATTTGCCGAGACAGCCGGCTTTCCTGGGAAATGCTGTCCTTCCCTCTTTGCACACTGCTTCAAGAAATGTCTTTGTCGTTAATGTATGAACCCCCCTTCTGCCAGCAGCTACCCTGAGCTAATATACATTAATTAATGAGTAAGGATGTGGCTGTAGGCCCCTGTGCAACTCATCAGCACCCGCCAAAGTTTATGGCCGAATTCCTACTCACTTCAGTAGATGGAGGACCCGGGTCATTAATATGTTTATCTTTTTTATTTTTATTTTTTTCTGCTTTTCTTTTTGGTTCAATACGCACACAGGAGGGGAAAATTAAGATAAATACAGAGTGAATACTTCTTCAGCATTCATAGAATCATAGATCACAGAATCATGTAGGTTGGAAAAGACCTTTACAACCATAGAATCCAACCATAAATTCAATACTGTTTGCACTGAAACGGCATTAATGTAGTTATGTGTCCGCATCTCACTGAGTGCTGCCAGACCCTCTTCAGACTCAGGATCTAAAGATGTTTCCCGACCTTGTTTCAGCCAAGAATTTGCGTGAATCGCACAACTGACCTTGGACTGACCTTGGGTCTGTGCGTTACCAGTGTCCTTGGCGATGGCATCCTGTTTGAATGAATGAACATCTCCTAGGCTGTACACACAATTAAATTACTGGGAATTTTACTGCTCATTCCCTCAGGGCAGGAACAGGCCAAACGTATTATCTTGGTAGCGAAACGAAGGCGCTTCGAGCCTCCTACACAAAGATAATAAATGAAGTCGATTTTTTTAGAAAAAAAGCCAGTGACGCAGCAGTGGCTGACGATCCCTCGTCAGTGTTATGTCGGGATGCGTCGTGCCGGCTTTTGCCTCTACAGGAGATTTTTAGCACAGGCAGAGCCCCTGCACGCCGTCGGGGCAGACCGGTTTCGGAGTGTCCAATTTGGAGGCTGTTCACACTTGCAAAGGACCTTTCTCCCAGGGCTTCTAAATACCAGTTAATTCCTGATACCTTGTGACTATCCTTGGGGGGAAAAGTCTTATCATATTTCATAGCTGAGAAAGCCATAGCAGAAAAGGGATGCGATTTGCACGAGGCAATGGCAGAGCCAGGAACCCCGATTTAAACTATACATCACGCGGTTGGCCTTTCAAATCAGATCTGCTTTTCCCCGCCTGCCTCTTTAACCATGTTCATTTTATTCTCTGCCCGGTTGGTGGGGAAAGGGAGAGCTGTCTGCAGGGCTTGGGGGACTGTCAGCTGCAGAAAGTGATTTGAAACCTGGGCAGAGAGGGAGTCAGGCAATGCTGTGAAAACCCAAGCAGCAGCTGCAAATCCATTGCTCTAATCCACAAGCCCTGAGACCCAAATCCTGCTTCAGATCCCTTTCCACAAGGGCTGAGCTGGTCTGCTTCATGGCACAGCTTCTAACATGCCATTTCTCTTCACTTCAGCTATCTAACTCAACTATTTACTCAATTATTTTCACAAAGTGGGCTAAATCATCCTCTCTGTGTGATAATCTTGCTCACAAAATTATAGCAGTAGCCCAGATGAATCAGTAGCCTGGTTTTCATAGGGCTAAAGATAGAGAAAATAAATTCAGTTCTTGGACGCTTCTGAATATCCCTGTATCCACCTTAAGCTCTCAGAAATGCTGGCCCAAGGTTTTCCATCCTTGTGTAGGAGACGGTGTGGGAGGAGCGAGTTTTGAGCACTGGAACAATTATCTCAGCTCTGTGATGTTTCCAGTAGCGTTAATTTAATGAATGCTCAGGTTAACAACTCTGAAGATCGAAGAAGTTATTAAATGCTGCTCTCAGCTTTCAGCCCTCTGCATCCTGGTGGTGAAATACTTCTGGTTAGCAACACACACCAGATACCTGCTCCTGCTCTTCAGTCTCAGTGCCAAGTTTTTGGACAGAAAAAAAAAAACCCTTAAAATAGCATCTTTGCTTTTGTTGTATGTTTCCTGTCAACAGGAGGATGAGTGAAAAACAACCACATCGAATCAGATCTGGTGCTGAACTCATGCTTTCCACAACTGCATGTTAATCCCCCCATTAGGAGAGGTGAGAGCAATGATATATTCATCGGTAAATAGCTGTGGGTCGTATAAAAACTGTCACTGAATAACAAGGCGCTTTGTCCACAAAGCTGATCAAAAGTTTCATCCTTTTCACAGCAGCCAAAGCCTTTTTGTGAACATCAGGAGCCTTTCTGCTGACTTTAGTGGGCTTTGGATCAAGGGTGTAATCTTCTTCCTTTCGTATTTGTACTTGTGTCTGCAACATGGTAATTGATCAGAACAAACGCGTTCTGCCACACAAATCTTCTTAGGTGGGAGAAGCTCTGGGGGAGGGAGAACGACCCATCTGACACTCATTAGGTGGATACACAATCCCTGCAAGTCATTGCTGGTTTCATTTTCATGTTGGTAAGCTCTGTGTAAATTGGAGAGAATCAGCATGTGAATAACAACACTTGCCATTAAAGCTGCCCTGGCTGCAGGAAGTAAAGGCTTTTGCAAACAGATGATTTCTTCAGTTATTTCACTGTGAACAAGCTGTCTTTAGAGAAAGATGGAAGGCAGGAGGCTATGTGGTTTTTAGTGTGCAGGTATCGAAAATGAACCAGGTAACACAGGGCACCTGGACTCCTTTCATGGGATCCCTTTCAGATTTCAGGTGGGAGCCTTCAGCTTCTCTGACCCTCCATCCCCTTGCTGGAAAATGGGAGAATAAGATTGCTCAACTCCATCCACGCTGATGTCAGCAGGGTCCACCAGTAACTACAGCGGAATGGACTTAAAGGCAGTTATAACACATCTAGCTGAAGACCCATGTGGCCCAGACTCCTGTCTCTGACAGTCATCTGTAGCAAGTGCTCAGGGAAGGAGAATGAGAAACAGGGCAAGTATTTAGAGTTGTATTTACATCACAGTGGTTAATAGCCTTAGAGAGATCTTCATCCAGGAAGTCATCTAATTGCTTTTTGAATCCATTTATCCCTTAGGATAAATACCCACAACATCCTGGTCAGTGACTTCCATAGTTTAATTATCTGTTGGATGAAAAAACACTTCCTTTTCTTTGTTTTAAATCTGCTGCCTGATGCAGCCATCTGACACCCCCTCCTTCATGTGTTTTGAACAGTAGTGACAAGAGGACAGTTCTTGACTGTCCTCTCCTTGCTGCTCATGACTAGAAAGCTGTGCCATATCCCTGCCAAACACCTCTTTTGCAAGCCTCAGAGTCCTGCTCTGTTATTCCCCTTTCCACCAGAAGCTATTCCGTGTCCCTGTTCATCCTTCCTACTCTACCCTTCTCCTTTTCTAAAACTACCGCTCCCTTCTCAGATGGGGTGGGAGGGAATTGTACACAAGATGTAGGCTCCCGAGATTAATGCCCTGGCATAACACGCATTTGCTTTGCTACCTGTTCCTTTCCTAATAATTCATAATGCTCTCATTGCCTTTTTGACCTCTACAGAGCCTCATGCTGATGTTTTTGAAGGACTATCCACAGTTACTCCAAGATCTTCTTACATGGCTACAGCTAATTTAAAGCTTATTATTGCAAGTGTACAGCTGGAGGTGCTTCTCCATTTCCTTTATCAACAACGAACTGCATCTGCTCTTTTAACCTCCAGTCACTTAGAATAATGAGATCCTGCTGCACCTCTGCACAGTCAGTTTTAACTTTGACCACTCTGAATAATGCTGTGGCGTTGGCCAACTTGGTCATCTCAGCATCTGCCCTCCTCGAACATCGCAAATCCTTGCACAGATGTGAACACAACTCCCCTTGTAAGCCCTTTCTCCAGTCAAATCCTTCCTCCATGTTGCCTCCCTTTCAAACCACAGTCCTGCTACTTCATGACAGCTCAACTTCTCCATGAGCCTTTGGTGAGAAATCTTGTTAAAAGAATTTTGGAAATCTCAGCGCGTTATATCAGCTGGATCACCCTCCGCCCCACACGCGCTTGTCGGCTCCTTCAAAGAATTGAAATCTGCCTGTGAGTCATGACTTTCCTTTAAAGCCGTGTTGACTCACTGTAACTGAATGAGAAGCCGCTCCTCTGAGTCATCACACCCGTTCCCCCACTCAGAGGGCAAGCACACCGTAGGTTTTGAGTTCGGCTGATCCAGAGATGTTCTGCGCCCCACAGCTTCACTCACCAGCCACACAAAGTAACGCTGGAACCCCTTGCTGCAAACCAAACACCTTCAGTTTGAGGGGCCAAAAGTTACGACCTGCAGGAAGAGAGCAGAGGAGACATGTGACATCATCAACATCCTAGGTCCTTGCAATAGGAAGGAATGTTTTTCACAGATTAAAGAATTGTGCCACCGCAGCCTGAATTTGTTCACTTATCTGCCCATATCATAAAATGATCAAATGATGAAAGCCCTATAAAACCATGGGACACAGGAAAAGTGTTCTAATTCTTACGAGCTGCACATCAAAGCGCCCTTCAGAAGGAACTTTAAGAGATGGCAAACGCAGAAACGCCTTTCTCCTGCTCTGTTCTGGGGCTTCCCAGGATACCTTCCTACTTAAAGCAATCTGGCCCTTAGGGAAAAAACCCACTTGAACATGTTAGCAATAGTTCAGTGACGGAGAATCCACCACAAGGATGGAGAGTGGATTGCTCTCTTTTATATTAAGGTAAGGTACAACAGCAAAGTTATTCTGTATAATTAGTAACAACTTTGGACTGAAATGTGGTTAATGTTGACTCCTGACCCCCACGAGACCTTTGTCTGACAGGCTGAAGGGCCTATAACCTCAGACCTCACACTGATACTCTCCATCCCTACAGACTGCAATGAGACCCTCATCTATCCACCTCCCTTCAGATGTTTTGACCAGCCTGTGGGACTGACCACACTTCTCTGGTTTGTGGTCTTTGCCTTCCATCTGTGATAATCTGCCTATATGGACCAAATTTTCATTTGCAGAATTTTTCTTTAAAAAAATTCTATTTCACAAGTCTTCCTTTGCAGTTCTGGAGCCACGTTAGTACCAGTAAAAGGATGCAAGAACTTGTAAAAAGATGCAAGAGATTTTGCCACTTCTGGGCTGGTTTAGCACTCTCATGCACAGATGAAGTGAGGGTGCGAGGGGCGAGTTCAGCTCCAGACTGATCACCTCTCCTTGGTGTTCCCAGTGCAAGTGTCAAACTCCCATTGCAGTCACATTGCTGGCACTAGGGAGTGGTTTGAAATGGGGGCAGTGGGATGCCAGTGGGATATCCTGGGATATAGCACTGGACACTCAGAGGTAGGCAACTGTTCTACCTTGGACTTGATTCTAGTTAATGGGAAGAAATAAGCACTCATACAGTGATTTATCTCATTTTAAAGTAGATGTTTAAAACAAGATCAATGAACTACATGTCAGAAGTGCTTTTTTTCCTCCCTATTGATGGGAAGATGATTGGGTAGATCCAGATGGCTATAGAAAAGATATTTGTCTCTAGCTGGATAAATCCCACCCAGCACAACAACTATTGCTATCGCTGTAGCCATGAGGGGTGAAAGCCCTGAGCATCCCAGATGCTGTAAAGGGCATTTGCCTTTTCCAAACTATTGACAGTACATGTGATGAAGGAAAGAGGTCCTTCTCCGCCTTTTTCACAGAACTGAAGAAATTAAAACCCAGAGCTCTAGACACATCCTAGCATCATTTCAGACATTGATCAGAGACAGCCAAGATCACCTCCTGCTACAGTTGGTGGAAGGGGGTACATACCTTCAGCCCATGACTCAGATCAGCCCCACACGAGGGGATGGGTGTAGGGCAAAGTGAAGCTGAGCTGGAACCATCCCACTGTTTTTTTGTGGCCACACTATTATTCTATTCCCTGAAAGTCAGGCCAGGGACTGGGCCCCCGCTCATCTGCTGCTGACCTGAACTGTACGTGAACTGTGACTTTCAGCTGAACACGCTCTGTCCTAATCACCACATCACAGAGCTACCCCCACAGACCTCCTTTGCAGAAACTCTCTGAAATATAATTGGGCCATTTACTGAATTTTGTCTGGATAGGCAAGACACTGAAGAGGCATTTGCTTTGTGAGTCCCTCATAGTCTAATTATTGTTCAAGTTACCATTGCATCAGAGCCTAACAAACGATGCTTAAGAAAGCGAGGAATTAGACATCAATTGTGGTTCATGGGGTCATGGAAGAAATGTAGCACACAAAAAAATAACACATAGGCCATCCCTAGCGTCTGTTCTTTAGCACTTGTACCCTATGAACGTCCATTAATGCTAATGTTTATGACTAAATAGAACTATAAGTCAATTACAGATCCTGTTAGTGTTAATTCACAGTCAATCTATATATTTGGCTGCAGAACCACTAGGGAATTGGTATACAATACATTTTTCTTTTTAAGTGAATGGATTTTTTTTAAAGGACAAATACTTGGGAGCTCTGCTATTTAGTCTCCTTCAGTTATTATAGAATATGGTCACTGATCTACAAATTAGTTTTATCTGATACCATGGCAGCTGGTAAAACATCTGAGACTTTCTATTCATGTCCTATGCCACATGATGGTATTAAGGCAGTGGTCAGTAAAATAAAATTTCTACATAATGCCTCAGTGAAGCCTTCTCTGTGGCTCTAGTTACTCATCTAAAACATCCCTTGCTGCAACAGGGAAAATCTAGCGCACAAATGGCACACAGTGCAAAGACCTAGGATGGTAATCCTTTGGATCCGGATCAGGATCATGTAGACTTACCTGGGGTCTAGGTGCAACTTGCCCAACTTAGCCTGGCTTTGGGCATGAACCAAGGTACCTTGATTCTCAGCGAAGCCCAGAAAAGGTTAACATAAGGCTTTTATCTGCTTCAGGTCCAGACAGATCATGCATCTGTGCAGTACGTGGCTTCCAGGTTTACTGTGACCACATCTACGCCAGCAAGCTCAGCATCTCCAGGTCTTGTTCCCCGACCCCAGGGGTCTCTGCCTTGCATGTGCTGCTGCTCCTTCCTAGCCTCTAAACTGGGGTGCCAGGATCCAAAGAGATCCTGCCCCATCCTTGGAAACACTCGAGGTCAGATTGGACGGGGCTTTGAGCAACGTGACCTAGTTGAAGATGTCTCTGCTGGGGGATTGGGCTAAATGACCTCTGAAGTTCCCTTCCAACCCAAACTATTCCAGGATTCTGTGATTCCATGATTCTATTGTGGGTGGCTCCTGACCCATGCAAAAGCTTGAGCTGTGTCTGGAAATCATCCAGCAGACAGCTGGTTGGCATAGAGGAAAACCATGCCCAGGGCTGCTCTACCTCCTTGTCAGAGCTGACTTTGTAAGGGATTTAGGTATTTCGAAATCTGGCCTCATTCTCATTTGATGTAAACCCCATAATCTTTAGCATAGCTTGATAGATTGCACTGTCTACAGTGTGCCTCGCCGTCTGCCCAGGGCAGATGAACCGGGTCCATGCTGCAGACCAAGCATCAGGTTCATCCCTGGCCTCGCAGTTCATTACCAGGCAGCCTACTACAGGCAAGTCACCCGTTTTCTGAAGCAGCCTAGCAAGGCCAAAATGTGCCCCGCCTGACTTCAATCAGTGCTTCCCAGAAAACGGTCCATCAGCAAAATGCTTCCCCTACAGCAAATCTGCAAATTCTGATGAAAATTCATGTCACTTGTTTCTCTCCTGAAGAGTTCTACTAGGGTATGGTTTTGTCTTGCTCTCATTATTTCAGTTTGCAAGACGTTTCTGCCTGATCAAGCTTCCATTAAAAGTGGGCAGTTGCTGGGCTATGAGCATAATCACACGTGCAATCTTTGTGTACTTCCACTGCTTCGAAAGCTCGCATTTCTAGTTCATTTCTCAGAAGACCCTAACATCACTGTAGATCAAAACAGCACGTTCATCAGCTTTCTGGATACAGGAGATTCATTTTCCTGGGTACAAGTGCTCTTGCTGTTTCACCAGCATAATTCAGCCACAGAATTTAAGGCTGGGCTGGGAAGTGCATTCTTTAATCATGTTAATGCTACCCTGTGGCAGTTTTCTTTTTAAAAATTTTGATTGAATTTAATGGAGGTGAAAGTCACTAGATGAATGGTTTCGGAGACAAATGCTCCCTAGCTAATCAAAAAATGATTCTGCAAAACGACCTTCCCCTCTGCTGCCCAGCTACGGGCCCAGATCCTCGTACCCACTGTCTTTGCCCAAAGGGCAGGGGATTTCTTTCCGTCCTGGGTGTTGTTTTAGTTCTCTCAGTGAATGACTCCTACAGGATGAAGCTGTGCATACACGTGTCTGCCCACCTGTCCCCCTGCAAACACATGCAGACATCTAAGAAAACCCTTGCCCAGGGGAGGATGGAGACCTTAGTCTTAAAGCAGATGCTGCAGGACAGCCCAGTCCTTACCAGGCTCCCAGAGGAGGGGTTGGAGGTTGGAAGTTATGAAAGAAAAGGTGTTTTTTGGCTTTTAGACTTTGTTTGACATCAGGACAGTGATCCTGTAGGTGGAGTGTGTTCTGAGGGCACAGGGTCTGAGTAAGGTTTTCTCACATTTGGGTATTTGTGTCAGCTCTCTTCCCTTAGCAGTCCCTGACGACAAATACCCCTCAAACTCTTCATAATTTAACTTGAAAAGTCCATCATCCTATATCAGTAACTCATTGCAATCAGACGTGACTAGTTCTGGCACCCACAGACCAACCCTCCATGTTAGCAAAAGGCATTGGGATCAGAGCCAAGGCATCACCTGAGCAAAGTTTCTAATACTCAAATTAAACACTCCCGGATTAAATTTCCCTCCCAATTCTTTTGCTTTGGCCCACCTGGACAAACTTTCCTGTCTCCTTTCATATTTAACATGGTGATAGAGCAGCACTGCCTGGCCCAGGGCTGAGGGGACACCAGGCAGGAGGAGGACACAGGACCTGTGCTGAGCTCTCTCTGCAGGGACGGGAGACCTCTTCTCCCATCACTCCCACCACTGCATAGCTTGGCCACAGCAGACAGTGGATTTTTAAATTGATACGAGGTAACAGTCCAAAATCCTGTGCCCAGAGCCATCCAAAACTGTCTCTCATCCAAGGGGAATTTTCCCTTACCCTCCTTTCCACTTGTAGTTTCTCTTGCAGATCTCCTGCCTCTCTTGCTGCAGGGAGGGAATCAGGGCAGGGGAGAGAGTGTGAGGAGGCACCCATCTGCTCGACAAGGTGGGTTTTGTTTCTAGAACCATCACTGCTTTCCGGCCCCAAGAGTCCTGCACCCCCGCTGCCTGGGTCAATATGACTTTGCAGGCAGTTCCTTGGACCCTGGCCATCCTGACCCTGGCCTCCTGAAGAGAAGCTTTAGAAACCCCAGGAAGCTGTGGGAAGGATCGATGTTCATTCCTGAAGTGAAGGTGCTTCTCCTCCAATGTCACTGTGCCCCCATAGGCAGCACGGCCACCCAGGAGCCAGTTTATTTTACCTGGCAGGTGCCTTTTTCTGCTTTCTCCAGCTCAGCCCACAGCACGTTCTCCTCTAGCTGAGGGATCTGCTCCAAGCGCTGCTCCCTGCTGACGAGCTTCAACTGTGCTTTCTGCAGCACGTGGGATGCTGGCACCTCCACCGCTAACCAACAAGTGAGAAGGGAATGATTGACAAAACGTACAGAACATTGCAGACCTGTAAGGATGAAACTACAGCCAGAGACTAGTCTTTGGGACTGCTCTTAGGGCAAAAGTGTCTCAGGGCAAAACCATACGGTCTTGGGGTCACGGGAGCTTACAAGGGCTGTCCAAATGTCAGCAAAGATAGGTTTGTGCTTTTGACTCTATGTCAGCCTAGGAGGTGGGTAGGTAGGTAGTTAAGAGAGGGGGGAGGTGTTAACAAGCAAAGCTGAAATCCTGGGGAGTGGAGGCTTGCTAAATAGGATTTTAAAAAATCACTTATTTTTGTAGACGAACTCTGGTACAGCTGGAAGACTCCCAAAGGGATGGCTTATCCTGTTGGTCTTGGTGATGATCTGAGACAAGCTGCACCGCACTCGTTGGATTTCTCACTCATGTTTCTGAGGAACTCAGTTTGAGGGACTCATTGCCCAGGGAGGCTGTGGCTGACCCCTCCCTGGCAGTGCTCAAGGCCAGGTTGGATGGGGCTGGGAGCAACCTGGTCTGGTGGAAGGTGTCCCTGCCCACAGCAGGGGGGTTGGACTAGATGATCTTTAGGGTCCCTTCCAACCCAAGCTATTCTATGATTCTATGATTCACGGGGTCCTGTGAGAGCCCCGAGGAGGAAAGTCCCCTGAACTTTCCCCAGAACAGATGACCTTGTTATCCCCATGCTCTCCTGGGGGGCTGTGAGGCCCCACCCAGGGTACTAGCTGTATCTTTCTCAAAGTGGCTTTTGGGATGGCAGTACACAATGGAAATAACTGCTTCAGTCTTCCTTGAGATGGGAAAACAGAAATCACAGTGGGCACTACCAAGTGACAAAAAGACTGACAATATGCAGGGCTACATGGAAAAACCCACTCATTTCACTCACATTTCTCTTTAAATTGAGCCTGAGTCTGAAAGATAAAACTGACTTTTGGAGGATATTGTAGCTGGGGAGGAGACATACAGATTTTCACCTCGTTCCTTCCATATTTCACCGAGGTAAATCCTCCCAGAACCTTTGGGAAGGTGGGACTCAAAGTTAAGAACTAAAATATAGAAAGTTGTCAGGCCGCTTTCCCAGCTAAAATGGGGCCGCTCCGTGGAAGTGCCCACAGATTAAAATGCTTTGATGTAGGCATCTCCAAGGAGGTGGCTCCACTTGCTGAGGTCTAACTGACTGCAGTTGAAGGGGAGTCAGGCTAGTCTGACCTGAGGTGCCAGTTCAGAGATGTCCACCTACAAAAGACTGGTAGAGACAAGAAATGACCCATTTTCTCCCTCTGAGGAACAATGCCTCATACTTCTTCATATGGCCCATATCACACCATCACACATTCCTCTCACCAAACTCAGCTTCTGCTGGTTTTCTTCTGAAACATCTCCCAGACAGAGAGCGTGTGTGCCAGGGCTTGCTCATTGACCTCACGCAGGGTACAATTTGGAGAGCAGAAGTGATGTCAACTGAGCCCACACAGCAGCATGAGACTGATCTCCGGAGCCATACCATGCCTTTTACAGAGACTAGCTAAAGAGAAATCCTGCCAAGCTGCAGAGTGACTCTGCAGCAGCCCCCTGCTTTTCTCTTTCTAAGAGCATGTTACCTTGGTGAAATGGGAGAGTTTCACAACTGTAATACAGTGTTGTGTTGTGTATTACTTTCACATGAGGCAAATGAAGCCTAAGAAGGAAAACACAGTTTCAGAGAGAAGGCAGTAACCCTACAGAGCAGAATAGCACGGATTAAATGGGACATTCACTTACTACATCCTAGGAAGGACTATTAAAGCCCCAAGGCACCACCCTGCACACTCTGTCCTGGTTACCTCTTTCCAGCAATGAAATTTCTCATTAGCCATTTAATGATATTTGTTCAGGATAGACATTTTGGGTCACAATCAGTGCTGGAGCTACTTTCATTATGGCTTAAACAAGAGCAATTAGCAATAGCAATCTGCTGTTCTACATGAGTGAAGAAGAGGCATGGCCAGTACCATTGAAACAGTCTGGTTTGTGGAGGCATTAAGCCAAAGACAGCCCTAGACCTTCATTTCCCTTATTCCAGATCACTTTAGACCCAGCCTAACTTGCCCACCAGCGTGGAGCTTGTCCTACTTCAGATGCCAAAAAGTAAGGTTGAGGTCCTGCAGAGCAAAGGTGGCTCTAAGGCGTCAGCTTGAACATACGTGCACAGAGCACCAGGGACTTTGCTCTGGGGGTCATTAGGTGCCTCATTCTTGCACTGAACAGAGAACTGGTGGATGTGCAGAGGCTGTGAGGGTCTGGATGTTTACCAGGGAGGCAGGGAGTGGAAGTTAGTGTAAGTAACCCCTCCTGGGAGAGAGCATCTACTTTAAATGGATAAAAACCAGCTTCCGTTACCAAATACATCTCCTGACTGGTGGTTTCCCAACCAGCAACCTGGCAGTGTTGCCACGTATTGATGCCACATATGAAGGGCAAGCAGATGGGGATTTTCTCATTGCTGAACTCCATGGGAGAGCAGAGCGGGATCAGAGCAATATCATTTTGCATGCTTATTCTGTGAAAGTTTTCGTGAAGGATCAGTCTGTCTGGCTTATGTTCTTCGAGCGTGACATTGAGGCCAGTTCCTCCTACCACAACAGTGAGATCTGTTTGCCTTGTAAACAAAACAGAAGCAGTGCAGGCAGAAGACTTTGTGTTATAAAGGTTGGTGCCTCCTCCCCATGAGCAGGGTAGGGTGGTGCTCAGCAATCTGCAGAGGCAGGTTAGCTATAAACAGCACAGAAATCTACCCTCACTTCGAGGCAAAGCTAATTTTCAGGGGAGAGAGGTGCAGAGGTAGAACATGAACGCAACCAAGTTATAAATAGCCCAGTCGCTAACTAACAGATGGAGTGGGCTGAATCTTCCAGATCGCTGTGCCCTGGGCTGGCTGCTCCGGACCGTGCTGCTCCCAGCCAGCTGCTCCAAGTTGTGATGCCACAGGCCATTTGTCACCGAGTAGTTTCAGCTCTCAGACCTGCTGAATTTCAGAGCGGGCTCACAGAGGGCTGGACTCTGTCCCTGGGTATTACATGGCATTGATTTATCCAGAAACTGCTGTTTTAAAATCAGACTCTCCTCAAGGTAAAGGTGTTTGCTATGTGAAAGCAAAGGTAATTTGGGGGTTAGAATAAGCTGGAATGGAATACATCTCTTTTTACAAGGTACCGCAACGTGTGTAGACATACAGGAAATGCTTGGGGCCATCAGAACAGCATCATGGGCATTTATACAAGGCTACTCAGTCCATCCTTCAAAATATTCCACTTCTGCATCTCCTGGTTATGCAGATTGCTGCACATTTCTATTGTAACACTACCTCTGATCAAAAACAGTCCTGTTTTTGCCAAAGGAGACAACTCCTGTTTTCGGGGCTCTCTTTCTGGCTCAGTCACATATATGTTGCACTTGGCCCCAAGGACGTACATATTCTATACCCACAAGGAGGAATGTTATCAATCCATTGTGCCTGGGCTGTCCTGGCCTCCCTTGAGTATTCACAGCTCTTCTGCAAAGCAATGGGCCACAGTCAAAATCCACAATGCGATGATTTTGGTGCCTCCACAGATATGTCTCCCATTGCTCTGGATGCACACGTGCCACGGGAACTCCCCAGCCTTGCTCTGTGTGTGTGTGTCTCCCTGCTGTGATCCTCTTGCCAGTCTCCAGAAAGGACTCGTAAGATGGTCAGAGGCCACACTCCGAGTACAAAATGAGACACATTCCTCGTGTACAGCAATGCCACTGCCTGTGCTACTAAACTAGAGGGGCAGGACATCGGCTAAAGCACTGGTCTATAATTATCCATGGTAATTGATCTCTACCAAAGCCCCTGGCATCACCATAGCCTCCCCAAACCTGCACTCTACCAAGCAATGCCCAGGCAGTCTGGGGGCCAGCGGGGCCATAATCTGTTTCCCATAGACAGGCTGGATGAAATCCTTGTTTAGTGAGGATTGGTGGAAGAGTTCAGTATCTGGCTGTAGTACAAGCTCTATGTGTGTGCCATCAGGTACAAGGAATAAGCCCAGGCCTAGTTCATTTACTGATATGTGTAGATCCTGTAGGGCTACTAGCAGTTCCACTCTCTGGTCACTTCTGAACATCTACAAGAAGGGCTGGAAGGAGGACCTGGGGAACTACGGTCCTGTCAGTCTGACCTCAGTGCTGGGAAAGGTTACGGAGCAGAAGACCTTGAGTGCCATCACGCAGCACATATAGGGCAACCAGGCAATCAGGCCCAGTCATCCTGGGTTTATGAAAGGCAGGTCCTGCTTGACTAATCTGATCTTTTATGACAAGGTGACCTGCTTAGTGGATGAGGGAAAGGCTGTGGATGTTGTTTACCTGGACTTTAGTAAAGCATTTGACACTGTTTCCCACAGCATCCTCCTGGAGAAACTGGCTGCTTATGGCTTGGACAGGCATAGCCTTCACTGGGTAAAAAACTGGCTGAATGGCCTGGCCCAGAGAGTGGTGGTGAATGGAGTTCAATCCAGCTGGTGGCTGGTGACAAGTCATGTTCCCCAGGGCTCAGTATTCGGGCCAGTTCTGTTTAATATCTTTATCAGTGATGTGGATGAGGGGATTGAATCAAGAGTTACGCAGAGGTTGAAAACGCATAGGTCGGAAGTAAGACTTTATTTTCCTCTCTTCTTCGCTTTTATGCCACTTCATGCCTAGGAAATTAGACGAAAGTGCTGGTTTCCTTGACAGTGAACGCTAGAACAATTCAGTGGCACAAACGGTAAGGACAGGTGATCAGTTACCACAGCAACTGGAGATCCTGAATGTGATGTGGGCACATTTTGGGGCATCTCCAGAAAGCGCCTAACTAGCAATCCTGCCAGAGGTAGCTCCTCTCAAGTTTGTCCCAGGTATAAATCTGCTAAATGGATGGGTTTCCTCTGGCTTTTGAGACTGGAATGAACTCAGCATCAGCTGAGGAGAAAGGGAAGATGGGGAGCTAATTTCTCTGGCAAGGACTTACTGCCTGTCTTTGGATAAAGCAGGCAGGAATTCAGCAGTGGATTTACAAGCCCAGTGTCTGACTATCTGATGCACATTTTCAGTCACTTCAAGCTTGGAACAAGATGTCATCAGCTGGGTAGTTAGGAGATGTTCAGGGAGCTGTTTTGGGCCTTTCTGAGCCTAAAACCTTAGCTGGTGACCAGGAAACATCAAACCAAGATATGGAGAGGAATGCCATGGAGAACCATCCAAGAGGAAATGCTGTGGATTTGTGTCTCTGGGTTCCCACCATCTGGCCCTTAAAAATGCTTTATGTACTCTGTTCAGAAGGGACACATCAAGGCAGCTCCTACAAGCTTTCCATGAAGTGATATAAAATTCGGAGTTTCCAAACCCCCTTGCTTTCTAATGCTCCTCACCAAGGTGGGAGGCTAGGTGTGGCTGGGTAAGGATTCCAAGATGAAAACCCAACAACAACAGGGTGTTATTAAGCAGGCATTCTTTATTGCAGCGCTGGGCAGCACTCGGGATCGTTCCACCATGAGTGCTCCAGTGGGTTAGCAAAACACATCAGTTCATATACACAAAAATCATACATATTCATCAGATTTCCTGAGAAGGGCAGTCTTATGGTGATGAGTTCCCAGAATTCACTTACACAGGTGCAAGCATACGCAGTAGATTCAGGGTTAGGATCTTTTCACCCTCCGGTGGTCATTCATAGTCTTCCTCACGCTGTCCGCTAGTTGAACTTTGGGCTTCGTTTGTCCATATATAGTAATTGAATGAGCTTATCAGTCCTTCGGCCTCAGAATGTTACAAGGGGTCGCTTTAACTACCTCCTTGGGTGCTTATCTCGGCTGAGTTCATGTTATCAGTGACTTATACAGCAAACCTGATGAACTTACTCAAGGTCTGTTTAATCTTATCAGGTAAGATGTTACCTGTTTTATCAACTCTGCTCAGCAAATAGTTAAAACCATCCTTGTGGGGAAAGGAAAACTCAGGAAAACAAAGACACAAGCAAAACTAAACTAAAAAAAAAATGCAAGTAAAGCTTTCATATATCACAGTGAGGCCTTAGTCAGGGATTGTCAGGGTTTAGCTCTTTCATATGAAAGCATATCTGCAAGAGGACTCACCAATGACACATGTTCCTCAAACGTAGTTGATTAAGACAGCTTCCAAAACAGGAAACATGTGAGAGGTTCAAGCCCACACCTTCCACTGCTCTGGGAAGTATTGCAAGCAGCAAGCTGGATGGGTGGGACAAACCCATCCCCCTCTCGCCTGCTGAAGTTGTTTGTCCTAGGATACCCCATAGCACATCTATAACCCATAGGAACCCATATCCACATAGGATAACCCTTGCATCTTGTACATCCTTTGGCTGTAGCTTTTAGTCTTCAGTCTGAGAACCCCATCAAAAAAACAAAAATTTATTTTGCCTCTTTCAGGCTGTCTTGCTATTTTGACTGTACACACACTGGGGCAGAGATTGCCCGACATTACGTTTGCGCAGCACTTGCCATAATGAGCTCCAGTCTTGGTGGGGGCTCCAGAAACTACTGAAGTACAAACAATTAATCACAGGAATAATTATGTTACAGTGCGGCCAATACAAATTCTACTCCTCTGTACTGTCATGAACAATAATACAGATTTAAAAGCCCCGGTGTTTAATTAGCAGGCTGCAGCCTTTTATAATATTTGGTACTTTTTTTAGATCTACCCAGCTATATACTTAGAGCCATGGAACATATCACAGACAACCTTTCTTCCTTATCTTTTTTTTTGTAATTTATTGTAGTGCAGGAAACAAAATTGATTTCTTTTTTGTGTTTATACAATTTTGGAACTGTCAAGAAGTAGTATCACATTACGATTTTTACTTTTTCTTACTAAAATTGTTTCAGAAAATAGGCACTATAGGTGATATTACATGTTGCTGTGAAAGTAGAACTGTGAGAGAAGTACTGATCTTATAAATTCACCATTCTCAAAGACATCCAATTACAGGGTTGTGATAGTTAAGATGAGATCAACCATGCCTCCAGAAGTCAAAGCTCTCATAACACCAGCAAATCCAAGAAAATAAATGTCTGAAGGCATTAGCTATGCAAAGCAATTAGCAGGTGCGACCACCTCCAAAGTCATCCTTTTAATGTCATTTTAAGCCAAAATTTTAGAAGCTTCTTTTCTCTCCAGATTACAAGATTGCAAGGAAACTCTGTGAGCTGCACAGACCAAGAAGCTGCATCTGCCAACCGGCGGCAATTTCTGCCTCCACTTTGGCTTCCAATGTCGGTGAAACTGCTCAGATTATGACAAGCCACCCCAACAGGTTCCCAAATCTTTATGCGCTGATGCTGTGGGCGTACTCTAACACCTATCAGGGTTGTCGGTCTTTTTTCAAACTCCATAAAACAAAGCAGAGGCGGTGGGGTAAGCACAGGCTATTTCTGGATCCCAATAGGGCAGGAAAGCCCTGTTCCCCCGAGGCCGCAGTATCCGCCGGGGTTTTTACTGAGGTACTGCTGATGGTAATCTTCGGCGTAATAAAACTCCGGAGCCTCCCGGATTTCTGTTGTGATGGGACCAAAACCACCCTCGGTCAATACCTGTCAAGAAACACAATGGAAAGCCATTAGTGGTTTGCTGGCTTCTCTGCTGCTGAATGACATTAGGTTTTCTCTCAGCAGGAGCCACAGACATCTCTCAACGCTTGGACCACATTTTCAGCACACCCCTGAAAGCCCTTTATCCTTCTCTCATGTTATTTTGCTAAGAGACATTGTGGGCACCAAAGGAGGTGTTGGTGAGAAGAGGTAGTGCACCCTCCTGTTTTAATGGCTCATTTGTTTAATTTGCTACAGCCACACATTTGTTCTCTTCTCTTTACTAACCACGCCAGGCAGGGATGTGGTGCCATCAACAAAAGTGGAAAACAAATGTGAAAGGCAGCAGAGCACACTTTGATCAAGCCTGGCCAGCTGCCTTGCACTGTTCCAGAACTTTAACTGGCATGTACCACAGCTTTGAAATGTGCTATCCACCCTAAATGTCCTTATGCCAACGAGAATTTCTGGGTGAAATTGTAGCCCCACTGATGTAATTGAGAAATAAGAGCATTTGGGCTTTTTTCACAGAGTCGCTGCAAACCCGTTCTTCAAAAAGAACAGTTTCATCATGACCAGAAAGGTATTTTTAAGGCAAATTATGGCTCATTTTGAAAGATTTGCCAATACGTGGACCCAGAGCAATAATCACTTTGCAGGAAAAGAAGAAGGAATGTGGGTGAGGATTCTAAATTAGACTTTAATTTTTTTCTGATATCCCTTAACTGAATTCGAAACTCCTGAAATGTTTCTGACAGAGGGAATTTCTTTTTAACATGAATTGCCATGACATTTTTCCTACTGAACTTTCCTTTTCTAAGGAAACTGCTAAGCACCAACTTTTTGGAGCCAATTCTCATCTCAGTGGGGACGTAATTTGTGATCACTGAAGTCCATGATAACCTGATAAGCATTCCAGTTGGTGTCAGACTACTGTTGCAATGTATACTTCTAAAGCACTGGACGTAGACAGAACTGCATTGCCATCAGCCAGACTTGACAGCAAGACCAACTGTAAGAACAAAGGGTCATCATTTAAAATTACCAGATAAACACATGTTCTCTCATCATACTAATAAATAAACACAATAAAAGGAAATCATCACACAGAATCACAAAAACGGAGCTGGTAGA